TTTTTTTTATTTTTTATATATGGGAAATTTTTTTAAAATATAATTTTTAATTTTTTATATTTTTTTATTTGTTTTATTATTTTATATAAAAATAATTTAATAATCCCCTCACTATTAATCCCCTCACTATTAATCCCCTCCATTCTATCTCTGGAAACAGACAGGGCCTTAATTTCTTGTATATGCTTTCTAAAGTGGTCATCCTTTCACTTGGCAATATTGAGATGATTTGATGTGGTGGTCGGCGATAAGTGTCAGCCACCAAAATTGCAGAGATAATGGTTGACAAAAAGAATTTTCAACAAAAAATTTCATGCTGTTACAATTGGTTTTGACCATTCCATTTCTATTGCAATTATGAGAAACATTCCACTTAAGTCTTTGTTTCTTCCAATTTTTTGACAATTTTCTCAATAAATTATCAATTACTCCCTATAATTTAATTTTACAAAATGAAACCCCCGGATTTCATCCTATACTTTGGGATAAATTGATTAGAATGAATTGTTTGCAGTTTATTAATTTACATTGAACCATGTATTTTATGTTCATGGGCTCATTGTACGTTTCATTGTGGTGGTTCGGTTTGCTATTTTTTAAGTCTTCAAAGAAAAGGAAATTTATTTGATAATTTTATGTACCTGATTTTATTTTATTTTATTTATGTTAAAAATAGATATTAATAAGACATTTATTCATAAATTTCTTTTCATCTACTTATGGTCCAATTAATCTATATTATTATCCTATGTTACAATAAGTCCCATAGATGACAAAATTACCGAAATACCCTTACTAATAATAGGGTAAAACGCATATTATTAATGTTCACATTGACCGTTTGAATGTTCTATAATAAGAACATTCATACTGTCAAGTTTATTTAATATGAATGTTCACATCATGAAACATTCATACATATTTATTTATTTATTTATTTTTATAAAATTACATATTCAAGTGAGATCTATTACGATAGATCTTGTTAATTATGTGTTAAAAATATAAATAAATAAATAAAAATGTGCAACAAAAATTATGAATTTTTAGGGTATGCTTGATTAGTAAGATTATATCATAGGATTGAGAATGTTAATCCATGAACTTACAATCTCATATTTGATTGCAAATTTTATTAACAAGGATTATATGAATGGCAAACATTTAATTCGACAAAATTGACGAATTTTTAATATTGAGAGGAGTTACATATCATAATTTCAAGTATAAAAGAAAATAAATAAAATGAATACATAATAAGTAGTTATCTCACTATTTTAGTTGGATAACTAATCCTACACTAATTTATGGGATTATTACTCTTTTCACTATTAATCTTGTTAATCAAATAAGACCTTAAGTTAATATATAAAAAATACAAAATAGTGTACAACAGGCTGCTAAGGGTTTAAAAACTATTTGTAAAAGTAAAATTGTCCATAAAGGGTGTGTTTGATTGGACGGACCGGAAAATGGGGGATTAGAATCCATCGGACTTGAGTCCTGGGACTGTGAATCCCCCGGACTATTTGGTCGGATTGGATATGTATCCTGTGTTTGTTTTTTCATGGGATTAGATGTTTGGATAGGACTATTTTCAGTGAATCCAACGTTTGGTTGGACGGACTGGATAGGATAAATGAATAAAAGACTATTTTATCATTTTTTAATTGTTTACTAAGTAATAGCAATATTAAACACATCTTTAATATTTTAATTATTTTTAGTAAACATTAAACATACTAATGGTTAAATTTTGTTTAAAGATATTTAAACATACTAATATTGATAAAAAATTTTGACTGGTACAGATTATTTTTATTTAAACAAATAAAAATTTATTGTTGAAATTAAACATACTAATGGTTAAATGTTTAAATTTTTATTTAAACAATTAACATTGAAATTATTTTGATGTACAGATTATGTTTAAATAATTAACAATTAACAATTAAATAAATGTTGATGTACAGATTATGTTAAATAAATATACATGTTGATGTACAGATGTTGAAATAATTTAATAAACATGTTGATGTACAAATGTTTAAATAAAACATAATTTAAATAAATGAAATTATTTATTGTTGAAATTAAACATTTAATTGTTTAAATAAAACATCTATTAAATTTAAATAATGAAATTAAATAAAACATAAACAAAATTTTAAAATAAAACATCAATAAAATATCTATAAAAAATTATTTTAAAAAATTAAATAAATAAAACATTAATAAAAAGTTAAATAAAATTATTTTATTTTTAAATTGAGACATTTAAATTTTATTAAATTTTATTAAATATAATACATAATTAAATAGTAGAGGGTCAAAATTGTCATTTTCGCATCTAATTCAAACAGTGATTAGTCCCCCCAAAACAATCCCACCCCCCCTAGGACAGGATAGTCCCCTATATGGGGGACATGGAGTCCGGCCGGACATGGAGTCCGCCGGACTAAAAAAAAAATCAAACAACGGATAAAGAGGGAGGCCGGACATGGAGTCCAAATAGTGGATAGTCCCCTCCCTTATCCCCCAATCAAACACACCCAAAGTATCTTAAATATGAGAATTAGGATTTTGTGGATTAAATGTCCAAATAGTAGGACTTATTGAAATATACAAATATGTTATAGACTAATTAAGATACAAATACTTGAAAAAGAATTTTCTAATAAATTCCCCTATAATAAATAGATGATATGATTTTAAAAATATATCATTAATTTTTTAAACATAAATATAACAAAATCTGGTAATAATATTATTAAATCAATTTAATATTTTCTAGCTAAATTACAAATATATCCCTTGAAATTTATTAAAAATACAGATTATTTTCTCACATTTGAAAAATTACATCTCACTATTTAAGGTTTTCAATTACATAACTAATGGCCCTCTCTGTTAATCAACTGTTATGTCAAACTAAGTGTATGACACAAGCAACAATTTTTTCTCCAAAAATACTATACTTAACTTTTATGAAGTTAAACATTTTTTTTTTCTTATATTACCTTCTTTATTTATCATTTTTTCTTAATTAGTAAAACCACTTTGTCTACAAATTTGATGTGTCACTAAGCCTCCGTTTGGGAAGTGGGTTAGCTTTTTGACTTTTTTTGGCTATTTTAACCTGGACTAAAAAGCTTGGTTTGGGAAGGACTTTTTAGCTTTTTGACTTTTTTGACTTTTTTTGTGAGAGAAGAGTGTAATGATTATGGGTTGGATGTGATGTTTTGTTTTTTGTGGCTAAAATAACCTATTTTATCTTTTGTAGCTAAAATAGCAAAAAAAAACCCACTTTAGTTCTTCCCAAACGGACCCTAAGGAGGTTTGAAGAACATTGTGGTAGTATAGATAAAAGGATTTGGTGGTGGGCTGATAAAAATGCTAATATAATATTTTTATTTTGATATCATAGGTTGTATTTATAATTTATCATATTTTTGGTGGTGGACACTTTTAACAAATCTTAGGTTGTATTTATAATTTATCATATTTTTGTATACACATAAATGCCGAAATGGTGAACGAATCAAATTGTATTACTGTTAAATTACAAATACACTTTTTCAAATTTATTTAAAATATAAATTGTTTCATATAATTCTGAAATTTATATTCTGACCTTCAAGTTTATAATTGTATAACAAATGATCATTTTTATTAAAAAATTATCAAGTTAATCAATTATTTTTAATGATGTCATAAATGTATTTTAATTAATAATTTAGGTAATTTTATAATTATATAGGAGAGTAGTTAGAAATATTATTTTTTTTATTAATTTTATTAAACTAAATATTTTGACAATGAAATATTTATAATTTTCAAAATTATATAGTACAATCCATATTTTAAGTAAATCTCAATAATTATATTTATAATTTATTCTAATATTTCAATTGATAACAGTAGGAATGATAAACGAGCTAAACAAGCCGAACAATTAACTATTCAAGCTTAATTTGAAAACTTTAACAAGTTTTAAAATTTATTTAAATTTGATTTGTTAAATTTTTAAGTCGATTTGAAATGACTTTTTATTGAGCTGAGTTAAAAAAATGTGATATTTTTATATAGTTTTAAATTAATCGAACCAAATTAAATAAGTAATTAACTATTCAAGATTAATTTAAAAAAATTAAAAAATATATTCAAATTTAACTGATTAACGTAACTATTTACCACCGAGGGTGGTAGCCCAGTGGTGATGGCATTGCCTTCCTACAGCCATGAGTCAAGTTCGACTCCTGAGGGGCGCGAAAATCCTGATTTTTCCAGGGGCTCTCTTTGGAGATCTCGCACTGTACTCCGATTGAAACTTGTCCGTGGCTAGGGCGGTTGATGAGCTCCATTAGTGCCTCGATGGTGGGTCCCTTCCTTTGGGTTGGATTAAATCAAGCTGGAAACCGGTTGTTAAATCAGACTAGGGCGGTTGATGAGTTCCATTGGTGCCTCGATGATGGGTCCCTTCCTTTGGGTTGGATTAAATCAAGCTGGAAACCGGTTGTTAAATCAGGCTGAAAACCGGTTACTTCGAGACCTGAGCCTACGGATGTAGTGATGACATATTTGAACTTAAAAAAATGCGATATTTTTATATAATTTTAAATTTATCGTACCAAATTAAATAAGTAATTAACTATTTACACCCGAACGAATTTTTAAAGAGTGAAATCATCTTAAATAGCAGCACCACCAAACACGCAAACTGAAGTGTCACTCTACTCTGCAAGTGACTGAAGGAGACTATTTCAAGTAAAACGGAGTGCGCATCACTGCCTAGGCGAGTGGTATGCAATTATGGAATCATGCTAAGTAAACTACAATTCTGTCCTCATTATTTTAAAGTTGCTGAACTCAATAGAAAGTGTAAAACAGTCAATTTAATCCAAATGGTCCCAAAACCATCCCTCAGTCTTTTCCCACTCAAACCCACTTGCTCAACCCCCACACCACAGGAAAGGGAAAAACCACAGGTAAAACAGCTACACCAGCCTCCTGTTTTGTTTCTCATCTGCATAACACTGTTTGAATCTTTATATATATAGACCAACCAAGATCACAAGTCCTTCATCCATTCCAAAATTCATCATAAACCTCACAATATTGTTCACTTGAAAAAAGATGAGTTCGGCAAGCAGAGCTTGGATTGTGGCAGCAAGCGTTGGGGCTGTGGAGGCACTCAAAGATCAAGGGTTCTGTAGATGGAACTATGCCATGAGATCCATACACCACCACGCCAAGAACAACGTGAGGGCTTACTCTCAGGCCAAGAAACTGTCTCCCTCGTCATCCGCCCCGGTTTCGAGTAAAATAAGAGAAGACAAGGCAAAGCAGTCAGAGGAGTCTCTCAGAAAAGTCATGTACTTGAGTTGTTGGGGTCCCAATTGAACACCCCCAAATTATTGATAGTTTGAGAAGTTTGTTATTCCGAGGTTCGATCGGAAAACGGTAACTGTATATTGTATAGTCCAAAGCCTGTTGCTTTATAATGGAAAAAAACTCAAATTTTGTTGTTTAATTGCACTGCGCAGAGCATGTCCAACCCTTCAATTCTTTCATCATAAAAAATAGAATAATGAAAAGGAACAGAAAAAGAAGAAATTGGGGAAGGATATAGGACATGCTCTAAAAATTCTAATCATTTTATCAATCTTGTATGAAATTATGAAAAACAAAAAAATTTGAGCAATGTTAGGAATGAGCAAGGATCCAAGTTTCTTAGAGTATTACATTGTGTAGTTGAGATTTATTGACAAGTCACATTAAAAAAATTAATGTGACTTGTCAGTAAATCTCAACTACACAATGTAGTACTCTAGAAAATTTTAAGAAAATTTCACTCTAGAGGATCCTTGGTGATTAGGAATATAAATTTTTTTTATCAAACACTTATATATGAGTAGGTGAGTTCTACAATCATGAGAGTGTTTGGTAAATATTTTGATAAAACATGAGGCTTTGTTTGGTAATTTTTAATTTTAAGTAAAAAGTTAAAAAATTATTATAAGTTAGTCTCCGTTTGAAAAGTGAGTTGTTTTTTAATTTTTTGGTTTTTTTTGACTATTTTAGTCTGGATTAAAAAGTTTGGTTTTGGAAGGATTTTTTGACTTTTTTTATGAAAGAAAACTGTAATAATTATGGATTTGATGTGATATTTTATTTTTTGTGATTAAAATAATCTATTTTATCTTTTATAACTAAAATAACCAAAAAAAAACCTAGAAAAATTCTTCCCAAACGTTCCTTTACTTGGTTAGAATTTGTTGATTAAGTTATGAACAGTGACTGCTCGGCCTTTTAAGAGCACTTGTATTGATGTGCTTGGTCTCCTAAGATTCTGCAAGATGAAAAACCAAAGTTAGGTGCAAGTGATAGTGCGGTTAAGCAGGTGAGCTAGGATCTAGGTTGATTGTGTAGGTGAGCTTGGTTTTAGCTCAGTTACATATAGATGAATGGGATTTCAGCTCTGTCGCGCAAGGTTCAGACAGGTTACACACGTTGGATTATAGCTCAGTCGCACAAGTGATCTGACAATCTTAATTTGTGTTATGTTAATTAATCTTAATTATACTTATAATTATGAGTTTGATATGATTTTAAATGCTAATTATATAATTATGGGTGTTTGTAAATTTAAATCTGTTCACCGTAGGAAAATCTATTTGATTTTCTACTATAAAAATTAAATTAAAAGCTGTAGACGTGACATAAACTAAAATTGGTCGTATTATTGTAATTAGTATAATTTTTAAAATTTATGATGAAATTTAATTGAAAATTGATTTGGATCAAATTAATTAAATTCAATATGATTGAATTAAAACACAATTGCTTAGTTTTAATCAATTTGATTAGGCAAGCCTATATATAGGCCTATATACACTCAAGTTCTTTCCTTTTGAACTCATTTGGCTGAGATTACACTCTAGAGAGAGAGAGAGAGCTGATTTTACTGAGAGAGACAACACAGTTTGAAGAATTTAGCTCAAGCTTGGAGAATTGAGGAAAATTAACTCAAAGCTTAACTATATTTGGGAGGATAGGAGCCTTTAGGTGAGCTACCAACCCTTAATTCATGAGTTTAAACTTGTAATTATGTAAATTCCAAGAGAGTTAGTAATCAAGTACAAGATTTGAGTAGTGTTTGATGAAATTGAAATTCTCTATGCATGTGAAGAATTACCATGAATGTGCATGATCATGAAAAATTGAGCACCAAAATTCACATGCGTGCATGATTTTGTTAAACCTTATGATTTTGATCATCATTTGTATCACTTGATATGGAATTAGAGTCTATATTTTACATGCATGTGCCATCTTTGAGGATATGAAGCTTGGTAGCTTGTGTTATGAAGTTGTCAAGAATAATGTGAAATGGTTTGGGATTTGAAGTATGGTTTTGGACAAATTAGACTTAATTTACCTATGTTTCCATGTTGTATAAAGATTTCCATGTTTTTGTATCAAAAATGTGAGTTTTGAGCCTTTGGAATTAAGTCATGAACTTCAAACAGAGTTCTGGAAAACCCAAAATTCGACTTGTCCGCTCAAGCGAGGAAAGTGTCGCTCGAGCGTGAAAGTCGAGCTCCTAAAAGTTTTATAAAATCTTACAGATCGCTCGAGCGACCAAAGTGGCGCTCGAGCGAGGACCCTTTTTACTTAGTCTTCCGCTCGAGCGACCGTCGAGCGGGAAATTCACGCAACCAATACTTTTACAAACCGCTCGAGCGACTGAAGTTACACTCGAGCGACCACCCTTATTTTTGAATCCCCGTTCGAGCAAAGGAAGTTACGCTCAAGCAGAAGGCCCTACTTCAGAAATTTGAAAGGACGTTTCATGTTTCGTTTTCCGTTCTTTTTCACTTCTAAGTACTCTTAGACATGCATTGAGTACACTAAATGAATTAAAGAACCTGGAATAAGCCTAAGAACATTAAACAAATTAAGGAATGGAATGAATTGTATTATGACCCAACGTGTTATGAACTATATAGCGTCAAGCACAAGGACGAATCAAGCACCGGAACATTGTGCGTAATATCTTAGTAAATATATTTTTGTGTATGCACTGTTTTCTAAATGTCACCTACGTGGTAAATTCCCAACTCTATGAATTTGTACTGTGAATGAGTATCCTATTCGCTTGATTCGTAATAAAGTATGTGAAGTGATTGATATATGAGCATGAAATGGGCCTAAGGCCGTTTGGCATGTTTGACAAGGGAACAGATTGGGCCTAAAGCCGCTTGGTATATTTAATAAGGGCACGGATTGGGCCCAATGCCGTTTGGAATGCTTAACAAGATAGACTAAGGTCATCTTATATGCAAATTGGACCAAAGGTCATTTCGAATAAATAATTGATTGGACCAAAGGTCGTTTTGAATATGAATATGGATATGATCACGATTATATGCACATAGTTGTGAATATAAGAATGATGGACCCAAGGTTGTTTAGTAATGTGATATGAAGGATCGGTGGTCCTTGGTACATAGATCCATTAGACCTAAAGTCGGTCTATGAATGAGTATTGGACCCGAGGTCGTTTTGTTTTACATATGAGTTGGACCTGAGATCGTTTTGCATATGGATGTGATGTATTGGACCCAAAGTCATTTTGCTTTGTTATGATTTATAAATCTGATGTGAATGAGAATAGTGATTCAAATGTTTACATTATAAGTATGACTCATTTATGAACGAAACTCATTCATTAACCTCTTTACTCTGGTATTATTCACTAGGCATTAGCTCACTCTTTATTTATATGTATGTAGGTGAGTAGCGGGACGTTCAACCCCAGCCTTAGTGAGCGTTAAGAAGCCAAGTTTTGTGAAGACAACCAAGGTCCCTCATGCAGAGGCCTTACTTTTGTTTTACTTTTATTTTTGTTCTCTTATGGTCAGGTATGACCAACGTTGTGTATAACCTTGGAACTTGGTGCTAAAACTGTAAAGTGATCCTGGATATACGTAACACATACATAATGTAAGTATTGCATGGTGTGAGTTATTTCATGTATATGAGAAATTTTTTGATTGAACCATGTATGCATGGCTCGTTGGACAATTCTCGTATATGATGCTTCCGCAGTTTGGCCCCCTATTATTAAATATGATTGATTTCTGACTGAAACCGTAGGTAATCTCATGGTTACTGGCCGGTTATGACTCTAATCCATAGGGGCAAGTTCGGGTCATGACAAATGAGTTAGTTTTTAGTTCGGTTGTGCGAATGAGCTATATTTTAGCCGGTCACGCGGATAAGCGTTTTAGCTCGGTCGAGTGTCTAATCGACTTGGCTGCGCAACAGCTCAGTCCTCTTCTCAAACACTAAACATGGAGTTTGCCCGGTTAAGTTATGATTTTGGATCAAAATGTGGATTTTTTTTCCAATTTGGCCTAGATCTTTCCATGTTCATCTCAGGGGATGAATAGTAGATTTAAGGATGGAGAACCAGGAGCCATTTAACACTTGAAATGGTTTAACACCATTGATTAATCAAGTTTTTAATGATTTCAAGTACTATGGTTTCATTTTTGCTACGCATATCATAATCAGGGCTCAAGAACCATGAGAACGACATGAACAAAAATGGGAGAAAACGAAAAAAAACTTAAAACTTACCGTTTGGGGTTGGAATTTGTTCTCTAATCAGTGGGGATGCCCAAACCATGACGTCACTCCGCTTGCTATATGGAAAATGCTCTGACCTAGACACAAAATACAAAGGGGCAAGAGTTTGGCACTTTGGTTTTTGGAGATGAACAGTAAGGGATGAAGAAGGTGAACAGTAGAGAGAGGTACATGATAGTTATATATATATTATATATGAAAGGGTGCCGAGATTTGAAATTTTTGGGGAACCACACCCATCACCATGAAAAAACGCACAAGATTGCTAGGGAGGTGACACATGCCCGTGAATGGACGTTATGTCAGCATGTTTTGGGGACGTGCCATTTGAGGCACAAGTTTTGTGCCAGGCAGTTCCATTTACCGGTGTGAGAAATTTAGCTCGGCCAGTTGTAATAATCCAAGTCATGCTAAAACAGACTGGATTAAGGAGCAATTAAGAGAGGAATTTGTGCTGAACAAATAGGCTGAGCGAAATTCATATTTTGGGTTGTTGTCCTGGATCTCTCAACTGAGCTGGAATGATGCCCAAGTGTTGGATTGAGATATCTAGTCGGCATGGGCTGAAGATCAAGCTCGGTCAACTGGCAACCTAGCTTTGAACTGGGCTAAGAGTTGGTGGCCAATGACTTCGGCTGAGCTCTGGAGATAAGCAAAATTTACCTTGGAAGGTGAACAAGATTCGATCGAGTTGAAGAATGGTTGAATTCGGAAACTTTGCCCTTGACTGGGCTAAGCAGGTCGGCCACGCTTCGAAGTGGAGCGAGGTTGGCTTGGGTAGGTTCACATAGCCTGACTGGGCTGGAAGTAACTAGTTGGGCACCTCGGATCTGGACTGTCTAAAAATAGCATGGTTTCAAAGGGCGGACGACATCGCATCATGCTGTGGATAGCTCGGTAGGAATTGCCACATGGCTCAATCGGATTATGAAGAAGAGAACTCGCCGTCCGTACACATCAATACCGTTTAGAGGTATAGTTAATGTTGTTTGGCTATATTAACACACGCACGTATAAGGCAAATAGAGGATAGTATATCCAGGCATCCAATAAAAGATGAGCAAGGTAGTGCGCGCATAAACTATGCAAGCCCTGCGGCACCTCCATGCAAAAAGTCTGTAACTTTCCTTACTCAGGGCTATCTTTGTTTTTGTCTTTCTTCTCTAACAGTGCTAACTTGACTGTCGGAGGGTTTTCCGACAACACACCCGCCGAGTAGCTCACCGTCGTTGTACTCTCAAGCTGTACGATACCGTTCAGAGTGATACAGAGCTTGAACTCAAGGAGTATGGAAGTAAAAAAACATTTACTCCCCGCATAGTTATCCAAAAAGTACTGATATTTTTTTTTCTATTAATAAAAAAGAAGAAGAAAATTAAAATAAAAAATAATTAGTAAATAAAATAAAGGAAATCATATATGCAATAAGGTTAGAGACCCCACTATTTGGTATGTATAGTGATTAAATTCTGTAATTAATTATATGTCTGTAGTCATGTTAATATATACACCTATATAGAAAATTGTACAATTCATATCTAAAAAAAAGTGAATACCACAAATGACCTTTGTAGTATTTGATTATGACTAATTATGGTATTGATTATTATTTTATTATGACTCATTGTTGTGTTACTTATTATTTAGTTATAATTTCTTGTGATTTTTATTTTGGTTATGAAGATGTCTTTGGTTATGCCCCAAGTGATATTTGGTTATGTTTTATTGTGATGTTAGTTATGATCTATTGTAATTATTATTTTAGTTGACCAAAAAATTCTTTAATTATGGTTTAAATAATGTTTGGTTATAAGCTTTCTTTTAGTTATGATTAGGGATGCAAATGAACAGATGTTCATGAATAGGCTCGTGCTTGGTTCAGTAACGGCTCGTTCGAACTCGATTCGTTAAATTTTTATTGTGTTTAAGTTCGAACTCGTTAAAATCTTAATAAACAAATCCAAATATATTAAAGTTTTTCTCGGTAGTTGGGTTCGTTTAACATTTATTTAAATAATAGAATTAACATTTTATTTTTACATTAAATAATGTAAAAATATGTATCAAAAATAGAATAAATTTATTATTTATATATTTAAATAATGTAAACATAAATAATAATTAAATTTGTTTATATATAAATAATAGCTAACTATTAAGAATACATTTATAGAATAATGGTGGTAGATATTATTATTTTGGCAAGATATTGACTTTTATTTTAGTGTGTATATATATATATATATAATTGTATAATTAAAGCTTCAATTATAACTTTAATCTGGCATGCAAAGTATGAATTTATAATTTTTTGGTTCGTCAAGGTTCGTGAATAGATTTGAGTTCGAGTTAAGTCTAAACCAATACAATTCGAACTTGATTCGTCAAATTTTTATTAAGTTCGAGCTTGAGTTTAAACTCATTAAAATTTTCATAAGCAAGTCTAAACAAATTAAAATTCAACCCAACTCAATTTGTTTGTAAACCTAATTATAATTGAAAGTAATTAATTATAATATTTGTGATCATAATTTACATGTGGTAAATTCTAAGAAGTTGAGAAATTATATATTTTTACTTAACATGTAATGTCACATGATAATCCAATATGATATTCATTAATTAAAACAATGAGATTCAGTACCTTTCTGTTAAATTTTTAGGAAAGAGCTTGTCAAATGTCAAGTGATAAACCACCAAATAATCACTCTCCAAAAGTGACCCATATATTATATATATGCTATATCCCCATTGTGCTGAAACCTGACATAAGACAGCAATATCTGTCATGAAAACCCAGAAAGAGAGAAAATAAGGATCAGGAAGGATAGAAATGGTTCACCCCCATCCTCCGTAGTAATAATAAATAATCCTAAATAACTCTAAAGGGTGTAAATTTGGCCCGATCCGACCCAATCTAATCCATGTCAGGCCTTGCGAGATCCCAACAAAATTCGGGCCAGGTCACGAGCCAAAAATTAAGCCTAGGCCCATGGGGTATTCAGGCCTAGGATAGGCTTGGGCGGGCCTAAACATTTTTCTTTTATTCTCCTATCAAAATTTTATTATTTTCCACAAAAAGAGACACTGGGCTCGAGCAGGTTGGGCCTTGAGTGGGCCTTAAGCAGGCTGATGGACTAGGCGGGTTGGTCCCATGGGCCGAGTCGGGCTTCAAAATGATAGCCCAAACCCAAGCTTAGGGTCTCAAGTTGGGCCCGGGCTTAAACGGGTCGAGCCCAACCCAGACCGCAGGCGGGCTTCAGGCCACCCACAGGTTGCAGGCCATGTTTACATTTCTAAACAACTGGTTTTCCTCCCAAAAATCCGTTCAATCCATCTACTTTAATTGTTTTATTTTTTTAAGACTTAAAGAAGTTGTTTTAGTACATAGAATCGAGCTGAATTAACATTTTTAACTTGAAATATTAATAGATTGGATTTGAGATTTATACTTTCAACTTAGCCGGTCTGGTCCGACTCGCTATTAAATTAATTAATTAATTATATTACATTAATATATATATTTTTTGTTAGGATCTAAATTTTATCTTTGTTGATTAATTGAAATTCACATTTGTGGTGATGTGTGATTGAATTTATTTAAAAAATCCTTCAATTTATACACAAAATCTTTTAATTTATAATGATATCGATATATTTATTTAAGAAATATAATGTGTAATTGAATTTAATTATGAAATGACTTAATTTTTTTTTTAACATATAAACCGATGGCTGGACTTGGAATTTATAAAAAATTTTGGACGGAACTTGAGCAGATATAGAGACTCGATCTTAAAATCACATCAGACTTGAATAAACACAAAATCTATTATTATGTAGTATTTGTCCAACTTGATTCCGATCCAACCTGGCATTATTCCACCCCTAGCTAAAAGTGACATACTTTCGTGAGTCGACACAATTACACCACACAAGAAAACTGTGGGCGCATGAGCATCACCATTACAATTGTTGCCTAAAACTCTACCCACTTTTTACTTCATCACCTCACTCACTAAAATAAACTAAATAAATAAATTACACATTTTATAATTGAAAACTTTAACAAGTTTTAAAATTTATTTAAATTTAGTTCGTTAAACTTTTGAATCGATTTGTAACGACTTTTCACTAAAACAAAAATGAGTTTTTACGACACCAAATGCACACCGTGGATATGATTTTACGACGCGCAAGGTAAAGTCGTATTATGACCAGTCATGGAAAGTCATTCACTTTCAACGACATGCTATAGCATGCTGTTAAAATTTTTTAACAGCGCATCTTATATGTCTTGTTTAATTTTTCTACGACTACTTTTGCATACCGTTAATTCAAGAGACAAACTACAACACATAATGTTTGTCATTAAATATTTAACACAACGGCCTATTTTGCCTGTCATAGAATATGTATAATTTTTTTTTTAAATTCAGAAGGTTCTATTTCACCTATTCTGTACAATCTAAAAAAAAATTATAAACAAATTTCACAAATATATATATATATATATAAGTATCAATTAACTACCAAAATATTATTTCAAGCATCAAAAAGCTATTCATAAGTTTTGAACATCCAAAAATTATTTGTACATTCCAAACCATCCAAAAATGTTTCTGAACATCAAAAATTGTGTGCAACAGGCCAGGTGTTCAGTTGAGCATTTGTGAGGTCGAGATGCTATGGTTGTTTGCCTATACGAGTGCATTAATATCAACTTGTATTTGATTTTTAAGGTTGGGTTATTTGCTATGAACCACTGCAAGCAACCGAAGTGGAACAGCCAAAGCTATTCTTTGTTGCAGCAACCAATGATGCAATAGCAATGAGTAGACCTGTTACTGCAGCACCATCTGCATATTTGACAGCATTTTGTGGGACAGATTACAAAGACAGAAGCAGCAGTACCATGATTTGACAAGATTAAAGAAAATACAATTACTTCAATGTAAAAATTGCAGCAATTTGAATAATATGCTTTCAATTAGAGAAAATACAATTACTTCAATGTAAAAATTGCAGCAATCTGAATAACATGTAACACAGGAGCATCTAAATTTCAGGAATGAAAAAAATGGACTAGATTTGTCAAGAGACAATTCAATTGGTTGATTACCTGAGAAGTGCACAAGTTTTGAATGCCATGAATGATTGTAGCACTAGAACCAAGACAAAAGATACCAGTAGCAAATATTAAGGACCAAACAAATCTTTCTTTGGAATAACCATAACTGTGAACATAAAAGAGTAGGATTCAGCACATCCATAAAACCAGAGGCATCTAATGAATATATGTGCAAGTGTATTTCCATAACATTCAATATATATAAAACACACGGCCTGTAGATGATATAGTGGTCTTCCAAGTTGCATTACAAAAAGCCACCCATTTGTCAAAAATGTGAAATATATGCTCATGATTATTTTTTTATAAATATATGTTCGTAATGAAATTGTTCAAAAATTTTGTACTCTGAATCACGACTCCAATTTAACTTATCCATTGAACTCAAATTTCAAAATGAGAGATGACAAAGCTCAGATCAAGTTTCAAAAAACAGAAACTAAAAGAAGAAATGTGAAAGAATGTAGATTCATATTTTAATATTCATAAACAATAAAATGCTTAGCTTAGCGCCCATTTTGGAAAAACTGGCAGCTTGAGATAAAATTTATGTATATTCTAATATAGCTCTAACCTTACCATTTGTAACAGCCCTATCATTTCCTTGTACCTGTCCACATTATGATCATGTAATATGTTAGTTTACATAAATCACAAACATAATACATATATGCGTTTAGAAACACTCTGTTTCATATCTATTTGTCTGTTAACAGTTTGAAATATTTGTTGCAACTATCCTAGACTACTATCACAAATAAAATTGAGAAGTAAATTCATTAAAAATTAAACATGCTGACATCATTTAAGAATAAAAAAATAATTCAATTTCCAAGGCAATAGCTTTAATTTGACTTACCTTAACACTAGAGTATTAAACTAAGATAATTTTCAAGTGTAAACTATCAGTAGACAAATTGGAGAAAATATGACTACATACTTCCAAAGAACTAGTAGACATCTTTCACAAGTGAAGATACCATATCAAGTAGGTTTGGTCACCACAAAGAATGCCCTCATCTAAAGCTAAATGCATTATATTTGATAACATTTTAAGAAGAATGCTATTAAAAAATGTTATTAAAAATATTTTTTTGTTGTAGTGGGGATACGTTACCTCTTTTGATGTCTGATCTAAGATAATTCAACCATCTAAGCTTGCAACTCTTACCATATCGCTTCAAACCTACATTTATCACCAAAAACAAAAAAAAAAAACAAAAAAACAAAACAGAGCAGAGCAGAAGCAAAAATCTAAGTGAAACAATAATTTAAAAATGAGTAGAAGAAAACATAAAGAGGAAAAAAAAAAAGGTGAAGAGTATCAATGACCTTTTTATAGTAACCAGGGAGAAGTGCATTCACGTTCGGGATTGGACTAATTACAACACCGACCGACGCCATTCTTACTACTCAACTCCAAAAACAAACCCAGTCAAACCAGTTTTATTTACTGGCTGAAATGGTCTAGAAAAAGTGAGATTTCATAACTTCAAAATAATTTTTCATCTTCCCACTTCTATGTGTTTTTAGCATTATTGATTAAGCATACTCTTACCAAACTAAAAAGCATAAAGGCTATCAGTCTGTGTGCATGGTGTAAGATGACAGACCATTCCAAAAAAAATTATAAAAAAAAAAACCACTTATTTTCGAAATGACAGGCCATTCCAAATACCAACTGTCAAATAAATTTTTCACATAATATGATACATTCTAATATGGGAATACCTTTAGTGCCAATACTTGTCTTTGGCACTAGTATGATGCAATCAAAGATTGATTCACCAATAAAAGTGGCCCAGGGGAAAAAAAGAAAATTTATCTTCAACAAAATATCATATTTCCTTGGAATTAAAATAATTATCTTCACTTTTTATCTTGATTTTTGTTTAAATCTCAAAACATGATGATTGGCTTCTACAACATTTCATCAGCTAAATTCTGGAACCAACTTGTAGCTGAACTTTTTATGATCTATTCCTTCTTATGGTACATGCATAACATAAAGCGTGGGATAGATCCCAACATCAAATTTTCCACATTGTTTTATGATTCCCACTCACCTCCCGCTATGACTGCACTCTGCTCATTGTATACAGGGATTTTGTATTGAAGGATGTTTGGGGCTGCTTTTTTTCGTGTGTGTTTTTTTTTTTTTTTTTTTTGGCTTAGGATAGGAGAGTTAAATCCTAATGCCAACACAGTGCGTGTTCTGTGTGTAGCAGGGAGTTAACCTTGATGCTGCTGCAGAATGGAGTTGTTGTTGCTGTTAGTTGCTCTTATGTGTAGCAGAGCTACTGGAGAGCTACTGAGCGTTGATGTTGCTGCTGATTGTTGCTACTACAGAGCTGATTTTGGTGCTGTTTTTGAGTGCTGCAAAGTTGTTTTTCATGCTATTTTGGGTGCTGATTTTGGTGTTGTTTTTGGTGCCCCAAAATTCACAGCAGCACACACAACAACAATAGGCCACTCCTAACTAACAGTAGCAGCAGACACAGCAACACAATAAAGGAACCAACACCCATGATTTGCAACTCTACTTCATTTTTCCATTAAAAATATCTTATAGGTGACTTCACTAGTAACCAGGACGCAAATTTAACTTAACACTAACAAAAGGGCAGTAGTGTCATAAGGTTTAATTTCACTTTTCAATCTTGCAAGAAACCAAATAAAAGAATAAAATGATAAACATGTGAGCGATGCAACAATTACTTCATCGTAAATAAACTAACATAACTTACAATTATAAGGAAAAGTGGCTCCAAAGATGAGCAAAGTCTTTGCAAACTATCCACCTTCAAAGCTTTCACAATCACCCTCCAAAAGAACAGAGTTAAGAATACCACCCTCCAAAAGACCTAGCCATGAAATTGAATACCACCCTTCAAAAAAAAACAGAGTTAAGAATACTCAAATAGATTAAGAAAAGAGAGCACATCCAAGTTAAGAATACTCAATCCACAAAGCTATTAAGAGTAGATGAATTGCATCCACACAAAGTGCATAAAGGATAAAGAAAACATTTCACAAAAGAGAAACAAATAAAAATAAAGAGCATTGTGGTTTTTTTTTTTTTTTGGTGGAAAAGAGCATTGTGGTTCCATAGGACAACATTTTAAAAATGAACTAATCATTAGAATATGATTAAAACCATAAAGGAAAATGAACTAATCATATAGAAATAGTTGTTTCATAATTATTATTGGATACAACAAGGATAACAAACTCAATGCAAGTTAACAACACTTGACAACAAAATAAAAATTATTATCATTAATTTAGTTACCTATTTTTAGTTTCAGCTAAGCTTCATTTTTTTTATAAATTTATTTCCTGTGAAATGTGGGTTTCTAAGCCACATGTCTGGTACTACTTTAGGCTTGCAAAATATTTTGTTAATAAAATGAGGAAGATAGCAAAGATAGACATATTAATTAATAAAAGACTACAACAAATGGCTTATTTTGAACCAGTTATCATCACTGCAATGTAACAGAAGAAGATTAAAATTGGATTCAAGATGTGGAGTCTTACAATTGACATACAAGCTACAACAACTTTACAAGAACACATGAAGGAACCATTTTTAGAACTAGTTGTAAAGAAACTAACTTGTCTTTGTAACCAGATGCGGCTTCTAGATTGAGATCTACCCACATGGGAGCTTCGATTTCATCCTGTATATGTGAAAATCAGTAGTAATTGTAACACAAGACTCTCTTGGAAATTAATACAAACACAAAAGACACATTTTAGATTCTCACAGTTATTGGATTCAAAACAAGATAAAATGCAAAGTAGACATGATGAATATTAAAGCAAACAGGAAGAGAGATGAAGGAAAAAAAAAAAACAATTTATTAAAGGTTGGAAAACAAAGGAAAAAAATGGGGTCAATAGTATGAGATTAAAAAAAACAACAGATTCAAAGCAATAATTAATCCCAAGAAGATCAAAACCCAGCTTTAAACATGAAAACAAGCCAAGATCAATTTTCCATAACATATTGAAGTGAACATACCATTCCCTGATCAAAAATCAACCAATCAACTGACGAAAAAAATCCCTAATTTTTTTTCTTCAAAATCATAAGAAACACTAATGAGTTCAATCATTTCCAAGATTCAAACCAACCAATAATCAATGTGGGTAATGAATCAACAAGTAAACCACGAAGAAAATGAAGAATCATAAGTTACTACAAAAAGTCCAGTGATCGACTGGTTCAACAATGCTCTTCCTCGGAGGAGCAACTACTGTATCTCTGTTTTCGGCAATTTCTGGGTCTTCTTTACCCAGGTTCATTAGTTTTTCTTGGAACCATTTCAAAGAAAAACAGACTTCAAAGACATAATCGATGGGCAGAGTTAGAAACGATTATTGATAGATCGATTGAGGGGGTTTGAAAAGGAGCTCTCGAAATTGATCTTCTTCATTGCGTTGGGTTTTCTTTGGAAACAAATATGGTAAGAGTTTGTTTGCCGCTCAACCAGTGCTTCAAATCCTCTCTCTTCTCCCTCTCTTCTAGATTTTGCAACTTCTAGAACCCAATTAGAAGCCAAAGAGTTTTTTTTTTTTTTCCTTTCTTTGAACCCTAAAGCCAAAGAGTTTGTATTTTGATATATACATATTTTAATATATTTTTGGTGATTATCCCCAATTGGGTGATGAAACCCAGAGAAAGGGAAGAGTTTTTTTTTTTTTTTTTTTTGATTGATGTTGGGGCTGAAGAGTTGGAACTTTTTATTGTTTTTTTCTTCTTCTTCTTCTTTTTTTTTTTTTTTTTTTTTTTTAATTTTTTTTTGGGTATTTGGCGCTCAAAATTTTCATTTTCGGACTATTATTTTTTTTTTTTCCTTTCAGTGGTACTTTTCACAACGGCAATTACGTGTCGTGGAAAGTATAATATTTTAAACAGTTGTCTTTTTGTATCTCGTGATAAGTGAAATTTTTAACAATTGACTTTTTGTATGTTATGAAATGTTCAATATTTTTAACAGCTGGTGTATGCGTGCCGTGTATAGTTGATGCATTAACGGCACGTCATATGTACGTCATAGAAAGTTTTATTATTTACTGCTAACATTACAAGCTGTTAAAAAAAAATCGTTATTAGCATTAACGACTTACGCAATAAGCACGTCGTGGTTGGGAAATTATTTACGACATACAAAAAAAATAAATCGTAAAAGTGAGAAACAACGGCTTACCTTTAATGTATGTCGTTGATGTGAAACTGTAAAAATCCAATTTTATTGTAGTATTTTGTCGAGTCAAGTTGAAGTAGTGTGATATTTTTATATAGTTTTAAACTTATCAAATGAGTATTTGACTATTTAAATTTAATTTAAATATTTTAATAAATTTAAAAATATGATCAAATTTAACTTATTTACTAAACCATTTACACTCTAACAAATCTTTAACAAGTGAAATCATAATTATACATAGTTTTAATTTGAGAACTCTAAATAGAGCTCTAAGAGCATCTCCAACGGTAATAGGCATTTTACCTATCTAAATATTACTATAAAGTATATATTTTATTTTTCCTATCAACTATTTCATATTTCTACTCCAACCATGCTCTTTATTTTAGCTATTTATCTAAATACTATTAATTTTAGAAAATGCCACATCAGCAACAAAGATGGAAAGAAATGATCCTAATGATTAAACTCATTTTGCCTAGCCTTGAAAGCTAGCTACATGTAGCTAGTGAATATGAGTTGAGCTAAAATGCCTAATCATATGCCTAGTGCATTGGAGTTGAAAAAAATGAGTTATACTAGACATTTTAACTAACAAATATTATATGCCTAGTGGGTTGGACATGCTCTAACAAGATAGAGTTGAGAAAATAGAGATAAAAGAGAAGGATGTAGACTCCACCTCCAAATAAATACTTTTACATCATTAAAATTCTTAAATCAAAACCCTCAAATATTATTGATCATCCTGAATAACAGCCCCACCACGGACGCAAACTGAAGTGTCACTCTACTCTACAAGTGACTGAAGGAGACTATTTCAAGTAAAACGGAGTGCGCATCACTGCCTAGGCGAGTGGTATGCAATTATGAAATCATGCCAAGTAAACTACAATTCTGCCCTCATATATTTTAAAGTCGCTGAACTCAGAAAGGGTAAAACAGTCAATTTAATCCAAATGGTCCTAACCCACTCAAACCCACTTGCTTACCAGCCCCCAAACCACAGGAAAGGGAAAAACCACAGGTAAAACCGCTACACCCGCCTCCTGTTTTATTTCTCATCTACAGAACACTGTTTGCATCTTTATATATATAGACCAACCAAGATCACAGTTCTTCATCAAATCCAAAATTCATCATAAACCTCTCAATATTGTTCACTTGAAATATTTACCAATTTAAAGAAAGCAGAAGCTGAAAGAAGAAGAAAAGGATGAGTTCGGCAAGCAGAGCTTGGATTGTGGCAGCGAGTGTTGGAGCTGTGGAGGCACTCAAAGATCAAGGGTTCTGTAGATGGAACTATGCCATGAGATCCATACACCACCACGCCAAGAACAACATGAGATCTTATTCTCAGGCCAAGAAACTGTCTCCCTCGTCATCCGCCGTGGTTTCGAGTAAAATAAGAGAAGAGAAGGCAAAGCAGTCAGAGGAGTCTCTCAGAAAAGTCATGTACTTGAGTTGTTGGGGTCCCAATTGAACCCCCCAAATTATTGATAGTTTGAGAAGTTTGTTATTCCGAGGTTCGATCGGAAATTGTATAGTCCAAAGCCAGTTGCTTTATAAAGAAAAAAAAAAAAAAAAAAAACCCTCAAATTTTGTTGTTTAATTGCACTACCCAGAGCATGGCCAACCCTTCAATTCTTTCATCATAAAAAATAAAATAATGAAAAGGAAAAGAAAAAGAAGAAAGTGAAGGATATAGGACAATCATTTTATCAATTTCGTGTGAAATTATGAAAGATAAAAAAATAATAAAAAAATAGAGCAATGTTAGAGATATATAAAAAAACAGTAATGATACATCCCACTAAAAGTGGTGCTCTAAAGCACCACTAATGAGTTGGCAAACACTTTAAATAAATAAAAAACAAGACACAAGCAATGGGTCCCGTCCACATCACTAGTGATGCTTTTATAGCACCACTTTTAGTGGTCTCAAGCATTATTGATAAAAAAAAGTTATCAAACACTCGTATATGGGTCGGTGAGTCCTACAATCATGGCAGTGGTTGGTAAATATTTTGATAGAACATTAATTTTTTGTTTGACAATTTTTAATTTTAATTAAAATGTTAAAAAAATATTATAAATTGTCATATTATTTTTTATTTTTTACATATTTTTTTAACATTTTAATTTTGATCCTGCATGGTCCAATCCACAAGTGATAGTAGACGAATCTAACCATAAATCATATTGTCATTATACGTATAATATGTTGACATCTCAATATAAGAGAATTTGAAAAGCTTATAAAATTTACCACAAATTTTGTTTTGATAATATAAATTGTTCATTTCGTAGAGTTTCTTGTGATGTCCCGAATCCTCAACTCGACGACTTAAGTGTGCTTTTTCAAACTTTTACTGACTTACCTTTGAAACCTTGAGTGTTGTGTGGTCTGCTAATGTTTGTGCACTGCACTTGTCTAGGTTTTCCTATTGTTTTATGAGTTAGAAATTTTTTAGTTTTGGACGTAAGGACGAAAAATGAAAATCTGGAATCACCTCCAGAAGGAATTGGGCTTGAATAGGTGTTGCTACACGTGCAGATTGGTGCAGGCAACTTGGTGTTTCTGGGCTGGAGGCTCTACAAGTGGGGTGGGCTAGGTTCGCACGTGCAGAAAGGGTCGCCGTACGTGCAACCAGGGGCTCCACACGTCCGGCCTAGCGCGTTTCTGGTCTCAAATTTCATCTTTTTTTGCTAAAAAACTGCCCCCCCCCCCTTCTCTTCTCTCTCTCTCTCTCTCTCTCTACATCTCTTTCTCTTCGTTCTCTTTAAAAAATAACCACCAACCCTTACAAATCTTTCGGTCCAAGCAAATCAAAAAAGAATTTGACACTAGTTTTTTTGGACCAAAGTGACGAGTGTGAGAGCATCATTTTTGACCGGAGCGATCAAAATTCCGACAAGTCCAAATTTGGAAGGTTTTCTTCCTTTCCTCCTCTTCTTTCCTAGAGGTAGGAATTTCTCTTACGCCAAGTTTGGGAAGATCTAAAAAAGTCAAAAAGTCAAAAAGTTACTTAAAAAGCTAAAAAGTTAACACTATCACCAAAAGTCAACAATTACGACTGCACAACTCCCAATTCAAATTTTTCCTAATTCGAATTTTTTTTTATAAATCAATTTTTACAATTTTTTATTACCTATTTTTTTATAAAAAGTCAAAAAGTTAACCCAAACATCCATATTTTCAACCTTAATTTTTTAGTCCAAAAAGACAAAAAGTGCACTTTTTTAGTCTTCCCAAACCTGGCCTTAATATGATTTTATATATGAATATTTGGTATTTTCATTACATAAATTTTAGAAAATTTGTAGAGATTTGAAAGCATGTTCTATGAAATTAAAAAAATCGTAACATATTTAAATATTAAAATATTTAAAATCTTAACAAAATTAAAATATTTTTAAAATATTGATTTGAATGGAGTTTTGAAAAGAGTTTTGAATTATGTGTTTGGTTATGAGTTTTGAAAAGTAATGATTATGTTTTGAATTGAGTTTTGAGAAATGAGTGTAGAATTATGACTTAAAAATCCTAAACAAACACCACACTCAAAAGTGAGTGTGGAACTAGATTTTGAAAACTCCACCAAACGGAGCCTAGATTTTGTGGTTATGTATTTCTTGAAATATTCTCTATTTAATGCGAGTTTGAAAGGTCTTGGAGCATATGGAAACTTTAAAATGAGAAAGCCCTAAATATTCAAAGAAAAACCCTAGTTTTCTTGATATTATATGATTTGGAGAAATTGAAAAGTTTATTGATCATTTTGAAAAATTGGAGTTGAATATTATTGATTGAAAAAATGATAAGAATATCGCATACATTTTGGACAATTGATTGAGATTGATGATAATATAAAAAATGTTTCACTATATACATTATTGAATTCATTGAGAGTGATTATTTATATTATTGTTAGTTATGCTCTAATATTGCTACATTAGAATATTTTGATAGAGATAATTGTTATTAGCAATTAGTGGAGGATTATATTGTTGTAGAAATAATTCAACCCAGAGTGAATTGAAACCTCATTTGTAATTGACTAATGACATAGATTTTTATGAATTGTGCAATGAAGTAGAGTGAATCGAAACCTCATTTGTAATGACATAGATTTTTATGAATTGTGCAATGAAGTGAATTGAGTGAGAATGAATGAAAGTAATTTAAGATACTCTCGATATACAGAGGTATCGCATTGATTTTGACTTGCAACCGATAAAGTGGGGTGTATGTCGGCTTAGCGAGACTATGGATGTGCATATATAATTGAGATTCATCATTGGTGTATGTATATACGTAGAGATCCTTATTGATAAATGTATGTATTGAGAATTATTTAAGATCTTGTATTGTATCAAAACTAGTTATGGTTATGTGTGTTGTGATTTGTTGTAAATTGAGTATATGTATATGCAAATGTTGAGGTGAAATAAAGATACTTCTGAGGAAATTGTGTATTTGAAATATAAATGGGAAATTGACATATTATATAAGTATAATGTGGAGTATCATGATCATATACATGTATTGTTAGTAATGGACGCCCATGTGGCATGACCATTAAATTTGAATTTGAATCCTTATCCAAATAGGTTTTGAATTTGAAATCAAACCTATTTAGGATAACCACTCAAGATACAGATATTATCAGTTTTAACTGATATGGATAGATATAATAATATATTATATATATGATATATGGTTATGGGTAATCAAAAAGGAATAAACAACGTATAGTCTATTTCTACCCATATACTGACTCTCTCCCAAAAACACAACGATCAAGTCTTTGCACTGTGATTTTGTGTGGGGTGATATTCAATATGTGATATCACTCCACTGCTGAGTTGATTTATCAGTTTTCTGGAAGCACGTGATTTATCCAAGAAGGTTCTATCATCAAGAAGGTATGATCTGATTATTTTATCCGCTGCATATTCTGTGTTTTTAGTTTACATGTATGAAGTATATTAATTGGAATTACACAAATTGCCTACTGGATTATATATTGATCTCACGTTGTTGAAATTTTTTCAAGTATCAATAATGAACCACAACCACGAGTTGGTGTGGAGAATGAGTATGAGCTAGATGAGTCTTTTTATTGTAGCTACAGGGTCTTTAATTGTAGGCAGAATGCCATATGTGTATAAAGGATTACACCTTTTTCTTTTGTTGATGAAAGCTTGAGGTCATATTAAGATCTCGTTTGAGAATAGACTATTTTTTAATAACATTTTGATTTTTTACAAAAAGATGTACAAAAAAAAAATAGAAAGAGTGATCTGATAACTCATAGTAACTTTTTGGTTAAAATATATAGTTAACAAACGAGACATAAGTTTTATTATATTAATGACTCTCTCATGTATCAAATGGTCATCATATGTGTCACGACCCGCTCCCCGTACCCAAGGGTTAAGCATCGTGATGGCCAGTAACCAAGGTTACCTCCGGCCAAATCTTTAAAACAAATTAATAAACGCAAGCGGAAAAAATATTTAAATAAGGGTACTAAAATAATCATTTGAAGCTTCTATTTTTATTACAAAAGGTATTGACCAAGAAGGTCGATTTTTACATAAAAAAAATACATCAATAAAAGTGTTTTGTGCCTACTCCACACGCTGGTCCCAACATGCCACCTGAAAGTGGTAAAAAACTATAAGCTCATGGCAGAGTGAGAAATATTATACTAAGAGTATAAGGCATAAAATTCACCATGGATAATTGGTTAGGCCAAAAGAGCTTGATACATATAATACGAAAATCATTTGATATATACTTCAGATCATATAATATGAAAATCACTATACAACCATAACCACGGTATATCACTAAGTGCCAAGCACTACACTGGTCAATGGATCCATGACAAACACTGGACCACAAAGTGGTCAATCACTAAGCCCATGATTATTTCAGTCCCCCAAGGCATAGGACTCACTAAGCCAATGGTTATTTCAGTCCCCCAAGGCATGGGACTCACTAAGCCAATGGTTATTTAAGTCCCCAAGGCATAGGACTCCCGTGGTGGTACTTACAAAACATATTTTCATATAAGGTCATAGCCAAATATTCTTTATAAGCAAAACACACACATCCATGGGTTTCCTTTTAAGCGAATAGGGTTTAGAAATAAAACCACATAACTGAAATCTTTATAAAATATAACTTTTATTAATATACTAATAAAATATAACTTTTATAAAATAGATTTTGGTAAGTCAAAACATAAGTAAAATACTTTTTGGTAACTCAAGGTATAATATAACTCACCTTAGCTTTAATACCTTACTCTTTCTTTCCATCATCAAAGACCCTTTCACCTCCCACTATTCTTTCCTTTCTTTCCTCTCTTTTCTTTCTTTCCTTTCCCTCCTTTCCTTCTCTCTTTCTTCTTTCTTTCTTTTTCCTTTTCTTTTTCTTTTCTGCCTGCCGTTTCCTCTCCAGGCGCCTCCGTATTTACAGGGGAAAAGGCGCTACGCGGCAGATTCAGTAATAATTATATAGATTTGTTCTTATCCTTAATAGATATTTAAGATAATTATCTTTTGATCATATATTTTAATATAATTATATAAATTAAT